AAGGGGAGAAAGGGGTTAGGAAGGAGAGAAAGAGACACAAAAGGGGCTGGGTGAGAAAGACATATACGATGGGGGGTCTGTGAGAAAGATACATAGATGGGTTGAGGGGGCAAAAAGATACACAGAGGGGCTGGGAAAGGGCAACAGAGACAGACATAGGCTGGAAGGGGAGACAAAGAGACACAGATATTTTGAAAACATTGATTTGAAACATGATGGTAAGAAAACCTGAAAGATAGCTTAGCAAAGTCATTTTTATAATATGGGTTATATGCAAAATAGTTTAATCATTGATTATACCTACATTTGGAAAGTGAGGCTCTAAAAATATATCTGTGGCCTGAAGAAGTTTAACTTTTTTAAATGTTGGTCCCTACCTACTGCCAGGTCTGTGCAGGTCTGGTCTAGGCAATTGTCTGCCTCTTGAGTTTTGCTCCACTGAGCTTAACAACCAGGAGGAAACAGGACCGGTTGTCTGATTGATAGCCAGGGGTTGTAACAATGTCAGTTTATAAATGAGTCAATTTCTATTGACATCTGGACTTTTTCTAAAGTCAAAAAATTGAACACACTGTTGACACATAAAGCAACTAAGCAAACTGAAGTGCTTTAGGGGTCGGGAGTGTCCCTTTATTTCTTGTGGTCTAGCTGCACGGTAGCTAAACTTCTCAACTTTAACTGCTCTCATTTACAATGGGGTTTTCTGTAGAGTGTTAGTCATTGCAGGTGTGATGTTATACAATAAGTGTATGAAAACTCTTATATTAAAATAACATAGTTTTTCCTTTGGGTTTTCTGCACTTTGGAAAGTCTTAAAACATATTTTTTTTTTGACAATCTTTATTTTGACTTTTAGCATCGGTACAGTGTGTCGATTCTTGAACAGAGTAAGGTACAAAATATCAACGTATAGGAGGTATAACATCCAACAGGATAGAAACAGAACATGCACTCAACAAACCACGGGGGATTTAAAACATATTTTAGTTCCCTTGTGCCATTACAGAGGCAACTCACGCTATTTCCATTTTACACCCATGAGGATAGTCATGTACCAAAACCATGCAGGAGCTTTCTGCATGAGAGCTAAAAAAAAAAAAAAAAACACAATCACTGACAATCATGTTGGCCTTTCTGTGTCTCATACTTTAAAGGATGCTTCAGGTGTCTTTTTTCATTTGGCTTAGAGACCACTTTTTGTTCATCATGAAAAATGTGGTGCAGCATATACACACACAAGAAGAAAACCAGCAATAAAAGGTTCAATAATATGACAAACAATGTGTAGAGACAAAATATAGCAGTGAAAATATTAACGTGGTGTACAATCTCAAAACAATATTATGAACATATTTATAATAAAATTCCAATTCAAACCTGAAAGTTAAAAAGAAAGATATGTACTACTGTGCACAAAGGTTTGGGTACAATAAAGGAGGTATGTACAACTCTTGTTTTAAAGATCAAATCGTAATGCCATACTAGGTTTTAGTTATGACTATACTATCTACATTTAAGAAAAGATTTAAAATAAAATATAACAGTATAATATTGTAAAAAACCTATAGAGTATAATACAGTATGTAACAAATGCAAAATTATATTTTAGAGCAAGTAAGTTCTCAGATGTAATGCCTTGGTGTTACAATAATCACCACTGGATAGGATATATTAATCATTTTTATGTTAGATACATCGAGTGATGTGATGAAACACATGAAAAAGCATGACAAACAATGCCAACAATTCTGATTCTTCCTGACTCAAAGTATCGCAGGTTGTGGTAATCCTCACTCTGGATATGCAAGTGTAGAGAGATGTCCAGATTAAAACAGCAGGCATACTCAGGAATGCGATAAATTTTTTTTTTATAAAAATGTAAAAAATAAAAAAAGACAAAATAGCAATAAAATGTTACACAACACTACCTTTTCTTTAACACATTGCAAGTTGTATGTTGTTGATATTGTTTTGTACAAGACTTGTGCAGAGCGAAAACATTTGGTTCACCTGAATTGATTCATCCCAAAACATGTTTTCGTGCCAGTCAATTTGGGTATCATCTATGTTTTGTTGAATTTCACCAAGTCAGGAAAAATTATTTGGATGAACCAAACTGGGAAACCAAAAATGTGACAATCAGTATGAATATTTAGCATTTTACCACTTTTTGGTTCACGACCAAATGAGAAAAAGTAACTAATAAAAGGAGAAAAGAGGAGCAGTAAAAAATCTCTTTCTCTCTTTATATCTATATTATATATTTAGTAAATATGCAATATATCAATATAAGTTTTTCTTTTTATTGCTCTTCCTTTCTTCCCTCTGTTGGTCACTTCTCATTTGATCTGTGAATAAAATCATCATGTTGTTGCTGTCTCCTAACCATAAATCATAGTTTTTCCCATTAATCATCTCTTTCTTTTTGGTGCCGTGGGCAGAACTCTGAATTACAAAACAAATAAAACTGTCTGTTCGTTTGTTGTACGTCCATACAGCAATTTGGAGTTACAGAATTTAGAAGAACTGACAATCGCCCAAAATTCGGACGAATCGCCATTTGTTTGAAATCGAATACACAAGTCTATTTTGTACATGGTTTGTATTTTTCATTTAGTCACATTTGAATTTGTAGCTTTTCTTCATACTTTGTACAATACCAATATTTTATGTCGCATTTCCCCCTATATGTTGTTTGTTATTTGTTAGCATTCCTATAATTGCTATTTTTTTCTCTTGATGTAGCAACAAATATTAATCACAGTTTCTGGGGTTTGTACATTCTGCATTCTTTAAAGCGTATAACCTTCATTTGACTGTAGCTTCATGAAGTTAATAACCAATTTAATAACTATTCTCCTTAGAAATTAAAAGATGTTGCTGGACTACGCATATTTGCTTTGAAGCTCCATAATCTCAAATTGAAAGAGAAATTCTATCCATTTCTGTATGCAGCCATTGTTCAAGGATCCTAGATGGGATGAAATTTCTCAAAACTAGAACGTTATCTGTCAAGCCTCAGAAATCCATATTGTCTATTTTTTCTGTATTGTGCATACCATCATGTCATTTATAAGGTACATATGATAACCAACACATAGCTTTGTGGTATCCTGCTCATTCTATATGCACAATTGATTTTCCTTGGCTTTATATATTGTAAGTTTATGGGCATGGGTTCTCAACACCAACTGTGGTAGTTTGTAACTGTCTGCAAAGAATGTTTCCTTTAATTATTATACACGTGGCTTATTTTATCCAGAATAGTGTATTTTGTTGATTAAATAATAATGAATACATTTTAACAGCTAAAGTCTCTTTAATATAAGTATAAAATATCATAGTTGGCGTTGCTATTAAAATGAAGAGCTATAATATTCTTCATTGGGCAGATGCAATCTTAATTTGATTTTACATTCTCAGATTTTGCTGCTGACAGATCAAACTGTAGCTGTCTCTATAATAACACTGTAGACATTCATAAGAGTTCAACAATGGTCCTATGCATTTTCTATGGGTTTATAAGATAATTATTAATCATTCATGGATTGTGATGATAATTCTGTCCACTTTTCCTTTCTACAGGCTTAGCATGATTACAAATGATTACAGTTTTTATCTTTCTTAAGTAATTTATGAAATTAAAAAGTAAACTTGCCAAATGCCGATGTGAATAGATTTTTTAAATAGATTTTTATCTAGTCTAGTGCATGAAGTAAGTAAAACCTAAACATATATATTAAAAAAAAAAAAAGCTTGTTGCTGCAAGTAAACATAATATAGTAATTGTATCTGTATAAATTAAAGCTTTAAATAATCAGAACATTATCTTTATTTAAACTTGAGAGTTAATTCACAAACTTAAAATTAAACAACAAAAAAATATAATAAAGATCTTCTTAACCCCTTAAGGACACATGACATGTGTGACATGTCATGATTCCCTTTTATTCCAGAAACAGTGATATAGATTTCCAATTGGAATATAAAAGTAAATATATAATATAGAAATGTATTAATTGTGTGATTGATTGCTGTCCGGAAACAATCCAACGGCACATTTTAGTATAATTGAATACATTATTATTATCATTATTATTATTATTATTATTATTATTAGTTATTATATAGCGCCAGCTTATTCTGCAATAAGAGGGGGAATTGCTTGTTTACTATGTCTTATTTCAGTGACCCCAAGAAACACATGGATTTATTTAACCACAAACTATTTTAACATACATGTTTTGACAATTCTCCTCCACAAAAAATAAAAGAGTGATAGACAACTTTCAGTTTACCAAAGTTAATGTAAATCCCAACATTCCTGAAAAGTAAATGCAAAAAAACTCCACCTTTCTCTGTGTGTCATGTCATCAGGATATTTTGTTCTCTTCGTTGTTAAGAGAATGAGTAACAGTTATTTACTAAAGTGACAATTTAAAGTGAATTTAAATATAATTTAAAATTTAAGGTCATAATAGTTGAAATTGAAAAATTCTCTAAATCAGCTATGCTTCCAGTTTAGCTACTTTGGCCTTAAATTTGAAATTCACTTGTATTCACTTTAGTGAATAACCCCGAAAATATTGCAATGCAACCATGCACAAAATACTGTTATGGGGGAATGCAGCACACAACTGGCAAAAATATTAAAGTAATACTCCTAAGCAGTGGCTTCCCTTAGCTCTCCTTAGCCAAGTCCTGCAGTGCAGGACTAGATCACTAGCTTAGAATATAAGCTGATCACTATCAGCTAGGCTTAAGAGAGAGAAAAAAGAATAGGTAAGGCTTAATAACAGGGCAGATAGGAAAAAAATAATTGGCTGCCAGCCTGGAAATTTGGGGTTTCCTTAAGACACCTTAGAACACAAACTTAGAACTAGAATACCACTCAGGTAGTGCTTAATAAGCCAATAATAAAAGAAAAATGATACCTGATACCCGGTGGGGGTTATCCCAGTCCAATCCTGAGAGGATACCCACCTGCTAAGGCCAGAAAGATGGAGCTCTGCGAGCAGCGGGAAGAAGCAAAATCCTGCAAAATGGCTGCTGTCACACATGCTCGAACTGCAGAGAAGCCTGACTTCATGACCAAGCTAGACGACCTATTCGCTGAGTTCTGGAAGAAAATAGTATCTAGGGAGCAGCAAGCTAAGACACACAAACCTGCTAAACGCATTCCCACGGTGTTGCCGGCACGTACCCAACGCGGGTACAACCAGAGCCCAAAACTGGCACCGAAGAAGATGAGGCTCCCTGCGGGGCTTCAAAACCCACGCGAACGACCCTGCCGATTGCAGCACTTCACCGCAACAAACACCCTGCAAAATTCAGCCTACAAACAAGGCAAGCGAAGGGGACCCTCCAGAACCTGCATCTCGCTCCATGCTGGGACCGGGTAGCCACGCTCGGGATTTCACTGTAGTATCACTTACCTTGTCCCTACTAGCCTCTGGTGTCCTCCCGCAGTGTCCTCCACCCGATGCCAGCACCCGTCTTCTGGGTTCCCTTTCCCTGTGAGCGACACCTAGCGGAACCAGGAGGGAAATTAAAAAAAAAAAAAAAAGTACACATACACACAATACATTGTAATACATTATAATTATTTATTATATTATAATTTATGATTTCATGTTTCAAATTTTATCATACCCGGGATGTCTACTAGACTCTTGTTTGGACAGATTTAAGTGAGTTATTCCTAAGAATTACAAGCCTACAATATGAAACAACAAATTTACATACAAATAATGTAATGCTTTATCATTCAAAAATACTGACATAATCAGACTGCCACGGAGGTTAAAACAAAAGAGTCCTTGTAGTGAAGATGTTTTTTTCTCAAAAAAAAATGGGCCTGAATAGGACCTCTTACGATTTCTTGGATTAGTGCGTTAAATATGACCAGCTCAAGTTAAAACAACTTGCAGTGGTATAGATCCCCACTTCTAGATTTTCTTCAGAGATATGGTAGACATGGAGACCATACAATAAAAGAAAAAGCACAAAATAGTGATCTTTGTATAAGTATATAGAGGGTGGTAATAAATAAACCTTACTTACCCTTTCCAGAGCAGTTTCACCTGCTCTATGTGTTCAACTTTGGTGGGATAATACCCACCTAGGATGCTTTGTATGGAAATCTGTACATATTTTTTATCAATCAATTTCCTCCTAGAACACTTTTTACCATCAGTTGAAGCTGCAGAGTAATGTTGCGTTTAGTAGCGTCACAAGATAAAGGGTGTTTTTTTTCAGTGTACTTAAAGGAACACTATAGTATTTGGAATATAAATAAAAGAGGACTGGGCTAGGAACCACTGTTTTCGAATGGCCTTTCCTATATGGTGTATGAAATAATGTAAATTATTACAATTATGAGAGCTTATATTTACAGACAGACAAAGAATTTATGTTGTTTTAAATATTAAAACTAAATATCACAAGTACAAAATTACAGATCCACTGTTCTAGAAGGATTTCAGCTTACTGTAGGTGCTATTGTGCAAAAAGCTATGGATGCCATCATTTTTGACAGTTTTTTTGAGCCGTAGCCATGTCACCCATAGGCCACTGTCAGCCTCATTGTTAATGCTGAATTAATATTTCTGCATTACTCTTGGTGACTCTGTCATCCTGGCCATTGAACTCATATCACTGTGGATGGACAGAATTAATATTATTCCATTTTTCATGGCTTAAATACAATGGCATTATCTTTTTTATGTAATGTCATAAAAATTAGCCAGTAATCACGAGGCAAAATCATTCTAGCTGATCTTGTGATATCTATTTCATCTGCTATTACTGATAAAATTCTGCTAGCTCAATTGATCAAATCCAGAGTTCTATATTATGGTCATATTGTTGTACATGTTAAATATTAAACTTTAGCTTAATTCCTTTATCATGCACAGTCAGGAATACAACACACAGTTCTTCCAAATGATCGTTCCACTTTATGAGAACAATTGAAATGAACATGCAAAGCAAAAATAAAGAAGGAATAAAAATACTTTTACAGTGAAAAATAAGTAAATTAGTAAACAAACAAAGAAAATAAATACAGGAGTCCCTATTCTGCACCCAAATCCCTCTGTTCCTCTTTTCTGTTATTAATGTTCCTCTTTTCTAGGAGCTCCATGTTGTTGCTGCATCTGACTGTATAGCAGAGCTCCACAGCTATAAGACTCACAGCAATGGGTCTTTAAACTACAATACATTTAAAAAACAAACAAAAAAACAGTCTATGTAAATAAGGCTAAAACAAAGATCTCAGGCACTCCCTGTGACAGGAACCAAGCAGATTTATTAGTTCTTTTTTTTTTATAATTGTGTAAATAAGGCATTTTAGTTGCATAAATTATCAGCAAGTCACCTATAATTTCTCAGAATATCTTTGCATTTGGTCTCATGTCCACTCACACCCTTAAATTGAAATTGTCTCTTTTTGTCCATTTGAAATGTTGGGAGGTATGATACCTAACTTAAAAAGCTTTGAAATATATTTGTGTGCTCGTAAAACACCGTACCTCTTTTACCATAACATACCTTTTATCTCCATCGGAGTTCCACTACTTACAGTATAACAGAACCCTCATAGCATTTTTCCATTAAGAGCAATATTCAGGTAATAGATACACTGTATCTCTTCTAAACTGCAAATAACTTGATGTGAAAACATCTTAATAAAGCAGAAAAAGAGAAAAAGAGAGTGCTAAAGGATTGCTAATTTATTAACAAGCAACTCAGAAAGCAAGAAAAAAGAGTTTATACATATATACGATTTTTCTTTTTTTTTCTTTTGTATAGAACAGGCTATTACCATTCCTTATCTACATTTTGTATATGTTTACATATACAAGCTATTCTTCTTGGAATGATGATAGCACTGGTGAAATAAACTAACCATGTAAAACATGGCTGATTTTTGGGAAGATAACATGCTCACTCATTCAACACTAGTACTCATCCAAACTCTGCACATCTGCAAGGTAAAGGTGCACCTTTATGGATATGTTATAGACATTACCCACATGCAGACGTACGGGTCACATACTTTGCAAATCAGCTGTAAAGCAGTGCTGACTGGTACATATTTAGAAATACAACGAGTGCTGTTGCCCGGGGTCAAACTGTATATTCAACATGCATAGACGTTTTTCTGTAACTACTTCCACTGACGGAACTCTGTAGGCTAAACAATAAACCAGCACGAGATCGCTTCACTGACAGATTTCAATGAGTAACATGGATGTATCCACCATTCAGTGTTATACATGCAGAATAATGCTATAACAATCATATGTATGTTATCACTATGAGCAATATTAGCTGCTCCAAGTAATAGCATAATGGTTAAATAAAGGGTTACTCCTAGGACCATGACCACTTCAGTAATTTTAAGTGATCATGGTGTCTAAAGTTTGCAATGAAACGCTGTTCTTACTGAGTTTAATTTCTTTACTTCCGGAGTTGTAACTCCACCTCCAGCAACTTCCTTGGGGTGCCGTTAACTACAGTGGAAAAAGAGTTGCGTGCTGGCTAATGTCAATTCTGTGCATATTTCTATGCACAGATACTCTTTCATTGGCTGAGAGCGGTCAGCTAGCGCTTATTGCCAATTAATGAGCACCAGTACTGCAGAAGCCAGATGTTGTGAACCTATTGAACAGGAGACCAGGTGCCCAGCAGAACTGAGTTAAACCGAGTTCCATTAGCAGGGAATGGTGCCAGGGTATTCCCACTATCATAGCCATTAGAGTGACTGTACTGGTTATGATGGTTGGAGTAATCCTTTAAGAGGCTGTAAGTCCAAGTCAAGAGACCCCCAAGAAAAAGTTGCTCACTGTATCCTTGTTGTAACTTTATTTCCACACAAGGGGCAGTCATGTTATAGACCATAACTGGCTGACAGGCTCTGTCTGTGATCATTGTAGGAACTAATCACAAAGATTGTGTACATTTACTGTCAGTTTCATGACACAAATAGTTTATTATTAGGCATCTCAAGTAAGCAAACTAAGAGGCTTTTCAAAATTAGGGCATTGCTGAAATGATAACATCACATAAAGCATGGTTAAGTTAAAGGGGGTATTGATGTACTTGTAGAATGTGAGTAGAATTTTGGAGGTTGGAGTAAATGGATATGTCAGCCTTATTGAAATTCACACTGACAAAAATTGAATGCATGTCTATAATTTGATCATATCACTTTCCACACGCTTGACAAATATGTGGGGATATTGATAAGGAATATATATCAGAATGCAAATCACTTCTATGTTCAATAGTAGGATATATCAAGTCTGTGGAATTCCAAAATTACAATGTGCGGGAGAAAAACACTGGAAAAACCATTTCTCCAGGCAGATAATTGTGTATTTGTGCAGAGTGGCAGCGTGCAAATGTGGTGGTGTGTTTGTACAGTATGGCAAGGTGTTTGAAAATGTGTATTTGTGCACCAGACATAAAAAAATAAAAATGGGATCAGATTTCTACCCAACTCACCCATGGCCTATGATCAGCGTGGCCTACCTTGCATTTGCCTAGTTTTCCAATTGATCAGTCTGGACCTGGCTTACACATGAACATATCTAGGTAAAAGTGCATTCCTTGTATGTGGAGTTACTGCTGCTAGTGCATATTGAGATTAGCAATATCTCAGCCCCAGAGTGTCAAGCCGATATGCAACAAACCAGGGCAAACAGAAAGAAGATACATGAACTGTCTCTCGTGGGCACATATGCTGTGAGGAGGTTGAATTAATGTAATATAATACAACTGATGGATGTGTACAAGGAGCAAAAGATATCAAACCTTTCGGAAGTGTTTTCTTTAATTTAATCTATTTTTCACTATAATTGTTGAGGATTACTGGGAACTGAGTTGCCACTGTGCCTTCATTGAGCTATATTAGTATATTTCACCTTCTATTTTAAAGGGATAATGCACATGGACACTATAATCACCAGACCCACTACAGCTAAATGTAGTGATTCTGGTGTCTATAGCCTGTCCCTGCAAGCTGAGCACTGTAAATGCTGCCTTTTTAGAGAAAAGACAGGGTATACATTGCTGTCTAGTGACAGTCGCTCAGATAGAGCTAGCTGCAGTGAGACCGGTGCAGAGTGATAATCACTGTTCTGCACATTTGCAGCTGGGCTGGGTGGACCTAAACAGCCATGCTAGGACTATAGTGTCAGGAATACATTTGTAGTCCTGACACTATAGTGTTCCTTTAAAACACTTCAGCACTTCAGATGCATGCACCTCATGTCCCCATTCTTAAAAGTTGCATTAATTTCAAGAGAAATCAGTATTTTTATGTGTTATTTTGGGGACACCCCTCTGGCTCTCAAGCTGGTAATCTCTAGCCTTTCTATTGGGCGATTAATGGTTT